TAATTGAATGTCGCGACTAGTGAAAAAAACCATCAAGGTTATTTTAGGACCTTTTCCATCGCGGGTATTTTATCAGAATGAATGCATACAGCCCAAACTACTACTAGCCGATAAAATGAAAAGTTAGAGAGGCTTGCCAATAACTGCAATTCCCCTTCTCACTCATAAATTAGAACCAGCCTCTCGTTTAAATATCTTAATAAAATCGAATGCAAGATGGGTTCTGAGAAGCCGAATTGACTTCCCCATTTATTGCAGATTAATCGATATAATCTCGAAAAAAGGATGCTCCTTCTAACGCACTGTTCAGAGGTGGACTGGAATAAGCGTTCTGCCTTGGTTCGAACCTACGCTTCGGGTAACTCATTCCCTCGATCTCTTGGAGTTGGGTCTAAGAAAATCAGTGTTTAGACCAAGTGTGCATTCAGTCACCTCAACGATGCTTAATGGAGTTGGGTGTATGACGCATCCTCATCGAATTCACCAACGCCGAAGTAATTGAAGTAACGCCTTTTATGCTGTTAATCACCAAGATCGACTTAAGTAGGATTTTTCTTTTAGCACGATTAGAAAAAAAGAAACGTTAGCAGTCCATGATTGCTCAACGCAGTAGAGATCTCTGAACTCTGCTGACATTCATTTTAGTTGGAACGGACGAGTTTTCTCTGCGCTTAATTAATGAGGACGTTCGCCGAGTGGAATCACATAGAGTGGTTATCGATTCTGGGATTCTCACACTCTGGATTTTCATTTTCATAGCTGGCAAAGCCTTTTACGCTTCCGATTTCCTTCAATTATTATTTAGAAGGAAAGATTTTTATAATTATCGTTCTTATTACTGTTATTATTATTATTACTGTTAATATTATTATTGCCGTTATCACAGTTTTTCCCGGTACAATCTGAAATTGAAGCATTTCGTAGCCAGGTAGCAAACACTCGAAGCGACACTTGTCTAAGCGGATTGAGAAGCATGAACTGGTCGTTAGATCCGAAAAGAAAATAGCAGCTATCACTGCCGACGCCTGAAAAAACATCAGGATCATCGGTCAGCCTTCCCATCTTTTCCTGAGAATCTTCGCCTCGAGAAATTATTCTAGATGGTGAGGACAAACCATATTTTCCGTTCGTCCCAGCTTATATGACTACTTATGTGTAAACATTGGGATAATGAGGACAGAACAGACTGATTAAATTAAGTAGTCTGGCCTATTTTCTCTTAGAAGTTCCTACTTATTCAAGTCCTCTTATTGCGCATTCGCACAATGCTCTAGAGAGGAAGTATCTTATGACTGGCTCTACTTCTTTGTTGTTATCATTATTACTCTACTATTATGTAGTTATTTCATTCTACACGATTCGTGCTCATGTCTAGTGTGCGGGTCCCAGCACTTCATGCATTCGATTCGTTTCCTCGCATCAATTCATCCATGAAGGTCTTCGAACGTTATTTAACTATTCCAACAACTTTTCCTATAACGTTTTCTTAACCTAAAAAGTTTTTGTCGTGCTATGATTTTTACCAATATGTTATATGAATAAAGCTCTCTAAAGCTCTCGGCGTTATTCAATCCCCGAGGGATGCGCCATGCATTCGACTTCACTAAGCATCGTTTGGAAGTGATTGAACGCATATCTGGCCTTTACAAGGACTCTGCTATTTTGCCAGATAGGTCTGGAACCAATTAGCCGACCCTGGAGGGATGGAGGGCTTGGTGGTCATGAACGCTGAGATCGATCCCATGTCTGTATCGCAGGGCGCCTCCGACCACTGAGCCACACGCCCTTTTTATATGAATACCTCTTTAATGTCATCTTTGATTGCTAGGCTAACATGAGGTTGACTTTTCGACATCTTCGTCTTTATAAGAGCCGATGATCCGAGTCGATGGTCCACAGTAGTTCGTGTTCCCGATTTGGCGCTTCGTCGTCGTATCGAGTCGGACCATTAGTAATTGCTAAATTCGAGTGGTGCTCCAATAAAGAAGAGCCTTCTCGGTACGACGACGAAGACGCTGGATCAAGAAGACGAAAGACTATGGACCATCGACTCGGATTATCGGCTATGATGAAGACGAAGATGTCGAAACGTTAGCCAGGTGAACATCTTCATCGACCTCGTGTTAACTTAACAATCGAAGAAGATACTTATTCTTACCACCAAGGTTGAATGTCGGTCGGTTTGGGAAAAATACTGTTTGTTAATCTTATTTTTACTTCTGTTTTTCCTTTGACTCGTTTCATGGACAACGTCACGTCCAGTAAGCAGAAGATGATATGACGACATAGTAATACGTTAACTAATCACTAACTTATCTTACGATTACTTATATTTAGACTTGTGAAAAAACTTAGTTGAGGAATAAATTCTTGACGGTGTGAGCCATATATGTTTCATATGCGCGTACCTCCGCTGTGGAGTTTGATACACTAAATTGATAGGCACCCACGCTTCTTCACGTAGAGCACTACCTCAGATCGAACGCCATTCGACTTTTGTACCTTCTCGAAGTGGAAGGTTGTAGCTTTCGGATCACTTACCTTCCTAATCGATCACTGTGCTTTAATAAACCGTAAAAATTCCTATTATTTTGTTAGTCAATTTAAACAAGCCCCATATGTTCATGTCAAGAAAGGTCGAGGAATATTTTTGGTACATTTGCAATGCTTTAGCTTTATCGCAGTTATAAATAACTCGAATAGCTCGAATAATAAAGCGTCGTTCGCCCTAGGGATAACTATACTTGGCACGCGACGTGCGATCCTAATCTTCGCTGAACACGTCGCTGCATCGTCATACTGCTAAGCATCAGTGTTAGTTACCTTGCCACTAAGATGATTCTCTTTTAGTTCGTATGTCTATGTCTTTTATCGATTCCATATCTGGTATCTGACTCGTTATGTGCACTGATACACAATGTTCTGTTCCTCATCTCCTCAATCCTTACGTGTGCGTACATGCCTAGTGGATCTCGTGTCATATCCAGCTTAATCAACTATGGGCGACGGTATCGCCTTCAGAGGAGGGACTCTCTCAGACCGTAGCACTCTTTGCGTTGTCACACTTTCAGTAACTTAGATGCCCATCTAAACCGATTTTGACAATGTTTATGAATGTAGCAGTTGTTTATTAAATTGTTCTCCTTCCGACTCAATAATAAGTAGCGTTTGAGGGAATAAAATATACAAAAATCTGTAAGTTTTTCCCAGTTTCGTTAATGGAAGCGGATTTTATGTTAGGCTTATGTTTACCAGGCAGTTGACTTAATGACGAACTCGTTCATAACGTGTGCCTTGTTTATATGAATGAGGCACATCGACTTAATGGTTGAGTAAAAACATTGTCCTTTTAGACGGAAGAAGCGCTCGCTTTACAAGCACGATCTGACAAGGGTGTTTTAGGAAGCGATGAAAAAGAGGGTAGTGCTACAACCAAGATACTATGTTCTAAACTTTCAGCACCATACTTGGCTTTTAATAATGAAACCTCAGCGAGTTTATAGTGTTTCGTTATCTCAAAGACCAAAGCGAGAAGCTGAAGAACGTTACTCTGAGGAAAAGATTGGAAAGCTAATCGGTTGACCGTTTGGAAAAGCATGACTGATTTTCTGTTTTCTTCGGTAGGCACATCGCTGGGATAGCGAGCCTCTTCTATCAACTTCGCATTATACCGTGGTTGTTTCCAAAAAGCCGCTGCTGACGTCTAGATTTGGTTTCAAAGACCTAGTGGAGTTCAGGAAATGATTTCCGTAGAAGGAATCACTGACGATGAGCATGTATGGATGAATTGAACGGTAATAAACCAATGTTTCTTTCTATTATTGTAGTTTACCCGCCTACTTAGATACTTGGACGCCCGGCTTTACCAGTGATGCTCAGACCTCAACAAATCTTCCATTTGTGTCGTTGCGCATTGCTCGTCGTCCATGGTGATTGCTAGCCCAAAATATGCTGATGTCCACTGGGCCCTGTGGCTTGAAGAGTTCAAAATTACTTCCTTCCTTACGATACGGCTAATGCTGTTATCTAAGTCGCTGAAGGTGGCAACGTGATGAAATGCAGTTTATCTTCATTAGAGCAACTAAATACATTAAATATAGTTGAACTCTTATTTACGAGCGACATCGCACTGAACTGCTTCAGAGGTTTCATAAAAGCTTGCGCGAAGACAAAGGAAATTTTCTTGGATTATGTTAAGCTAACGCGAGGTGGGTGCGAAGTCTCATTCGACTAATGCTTCAACGTCTTCGTATTATTTAGACTAAGCTCTATTAAAAATGCGCTGTCCGAATAGTAGTCGTTGTAAAACAGGTTGAAAGAAAAGCAGAGCGGGGCTGGGTGGCGCTGTGGGTAGCAGCGTCATTGTGGTTGTTTTCGCCCTGTGATATACTACACCCTACCCTAATACCCTGTGAAAAAATAATAGGCAGTAAGTGAAAAGTTAAACAATGGTCGAAATGTTCTGAAAAATGCTACTATAAGTATGTGCTAAAAAAGTCGTCGTCTTCTGCTAGATTTCTTAGCTTACAAAGAAGGTGTTCGCCATTCCATCCATATTGTTGGTAAAATGCATTGGGTTCAATGCAAACGTAGGAGGCCAGATTGCGTTGGGTACACTGATGCCGACACACCTTTGTGGCGGTTTATTTTGACGCGCTGTTTCTCTTGCCATACTTTATCTATTTTATCGATGGCCTCCTCGTCACAAATAAAGTGTCGGGTTCGATTAAGAAAGGACTACATTTTGTGCCTTATAATTCTTAAAAAACTACTTTTTGCACAAGTCCATCCACATAGCCATAGAGAGTGCTTCACGTGAAGAGAGTAGACAGACAGATATAGTCGTTGACGAGATTTCCACATGTTATAGTGCCACTTGCATGTATATCGTACATAAAAATGACTCTCACGGTGACTACTTAGCTTCTGCACAGTTAATCGTCTCTGAGGAAGGCGCTTGATCCGGTGAGCTCGAAGGACCTTATCGAGAGTCGAGTTCAATGGATACTGTAGGCAATGAAGAGCTAAGCACATTCCTACAAGGCCTCTAACAAAGATTGGCTATATTAAAAATGAGTTATACTGAGTGTCTGACCTCGATATCTCCAGCAATCGTAGTCGCCTAAGTGAGTTACAATGAACGAACACTATTACATTATTCTACTGAGACAAGGCTGATGAAAAAATCCTGACACTCATAGGCCACCCTCAGGACGAACAATTTCAGCGAGCGCTTCTCAAACCTCCAGTTCCGTCTCTCGATCACTGCCTAGACCGATACAGCGAATATGTGGAGGTGGTGGCCGACGGTCAGAATCGTCCGACTGAGAATACGCTGCGAGCCGTGCAAGACTTCCGACAAAGTGGCTTGATCTTTCAACAGAAGCTGCTGAGTATTGCTGAGCAGGAGCCGAATTGGGTAAAGCTTCCTGTTTCTCTTCCTCTCTGAAAAAAAAACGGACTACGAAAGGAAATTGATTTCATTTCAGATAAATCAATTCTGGTTACCGGAAATGTACCTTCGAGTTCGTCTTCCATTACCGGTGAACGTTAACCCAGCGTATATTTTTCCACTGCAACACTTCAAAAATGAAGAGGACTGGCTGAGGTATTCACTTTAAAGAGAACAGATTTAAAAGAAAAAGCAATGAATGGTTGTCTCATTGGACTTTTTTAGTTACACAGCGCTTCTTGTAAGAGGATTTGTCGAATATAAGAACAAAATCGATACGTGAGTTCCATATTACTTCTAATGTTCAAAATATTACTCCTCATTTTCGTCCTACGGTTAAACTTTTGGTTGCGCTTTGATTGAAAAAGGAGAAAACGGATAAAGGATAAAGTGATCGGAAGGTGAATTTGGAGCGCCACAGAGTTTATGAATGCATACTTCTCCTACACTTGAGGGAGGGAGGGGGTTGGGCCTATCGCGACTAATCACGACAGTATTTTCTGTCCTATCAGACAATTTAAGGGCGCGTGTGACGCAGTGGTCGAAGGCGCCCTGCAACACAGACGTGGGATCGATTCCCGCGCCTATAGCCCACCAAGCCCTCCATCCCTTCGGGGTCGGCAAATTGGTACCACACCTGTTTGGGAGTGAAGGATCACTGGTTCGATACATCAGTTGGCCACTGCAAGTCCTTGTATTGTAAAGGCCAGATATTCATTCAGTCACCTTCAAACGATGCTTAATGAAGTCGAATGTATGACGCACCCCTCATGGATTGATCAACACCGAGAGCTTTATTCTTTTATTCTTTATCAGACAATCAAGTACCGATTTTTCGACGTAGAAGAGAAGGAGCTGGTGTACCGAAGCGCAAGATCCAACCAACAAACCTGTGGACATTGCAGGACATCTCTTGCCACTCCTTTGTACTCATACCCTCCACCTTTATATTGATCTTCTGTTAATTTTTTTCTGAATAGTTGGCCAATAATTTGAGAACGATCTTGGAAATTGGCGGTGAAATTATCCATATCCGTTTTAGGAAACAAATCGAAAGGGAGGTGTCTACAGGAAAATTGAAGGTGAACATGTGCATGCAACAATACGACAGTATTCTGTCGTGTTACCGGTTCGTCTCGTCAACATCGTCGGCTTTCGAATGACCAATTCCAATCTGAGCTTAGTGTAACTATTTTCAGACACCCAGGAATTGATGAAGACGTACAAGTGGTGAAGCCGAAACGAAACAAAGAGAACGAGCACATTCTTGTCATGTGCAATAATCAGGTAACTTTATGAGCTTTATAGAGTAGAAAATACCTGAGACAAATAAAGCTGCCTTGGGAAATCCTTTCTGAGCACCGTCCTGCAGCGGAAATCTACAGTTCCTCTGTTGCAAAAAATGGCTCGAAACCAAAGAACTTCCGCAAAACCATTAAACCGCAGTTCAATCTCAGAGCCAAAACTTCAAAGATAGTTGGCAATTAAATAAAGGCGTAAATTCTTTTTTCCAATAGATGTTTTTTCCTTTAAGCTTGTAGAACATTCTGATTAGAGACAAATCTCGCATTAAGGGATTTATTGTGCAAACGCGTATCGGTGGAACGATGCTAGCATTTGCCGATGTCCTCTACCAACTTCGTCAGGTGCTCAGAATGTCTGAGGCCAGAAAAGCCACTGCTATCCCTGTGGGTGCATCAGGAGCTGGAGATCGCACCACAGCGGCCCTTTTTTGGCATGGGATGCAAGAAGGTGAACAACTTCCGCTTTTTCTCTTGCGAAATCTGAAGAAAACTAAACAGAAATCTACCAGAATAGATTTTCCCACCACTCCTTAGACGAAATGCATCGTTAACGAGCTTGATGGATTACTGGAAATTTCTACCGGTACGGTGGTCGGTGGTTACCGAAAGTCAGAAACGTTTTTTATAAGTTTGCGCTGTTATTCATACTGCTAAGTCAACTGTCCCTGATCAGCCTGATGCATGCGCCATGACTCCTCTTCATTAAGCATCGTAGAAATGACTGAATGCAATGACTTGCGGTCCTCTAGAAATGTGCCAAATTAGTATTATTTTGTTGATAAGCTAACATTAGGTTGACAAACAACTTTATTCGGCTAACGTTTCGACGTCTTCGTCTTGCTCAGAGCCGATGATCAAAGTCAAGGAACAAATGTTAATTGGTCCACCGTTGTTAAAGGAAAGCCGGTTTTTGAAATATTGTTACGCTCTGTGCTAGCTGAAAATGATATCGACTTTTGCAGTATTAATTGCCAGAAAAAACCATTTATTGAAAATATGAAAGGATAAAGCTCTTAGTGCTGACCAATCTCTGAGGGATGCGCCACGTATTCGACTTCATTAAGCACCGTTGGTGGTGTTTGAATGCATATCTGGCCTTCTACAATGACTTGGCGTGGTCGATCGATTTATCGAGCCAGTGTTACTATACTCCCAAAGAAGTCTGGTACCAATTTGCCGACCGTAGGAGAATGGAGGGCTTGGTGACTCTGGGGCTCGGGGATCCATCCCATGCGTATTGCAGGCCACCTCCGACTACACGTGCTCTCTGAAAAGTTATTATCATCGGACAATTACTATTAACAGCAACTGTCCTGCATAAAAGAGCATAGCCGGGTGAGGTTGCCTTATCTGAGCGGTGCGTCAATGAAGAAGATTCACCTCGATACGACGACGAAGACATCACATCGAGAAGACATTCGACTTCGGACATCGACCAGCCGTCATAGTGTTGGCAAAATAAATGCTTTGATAACAACCTCGTGTAAGATTACCAATAAAATAAGGTACATTCAATGATCATTTATACTAAGGTTAGATGACGGTCGGCTTGAAAAATATAGAGCTAGTGTTTCCATGCTTCCGAGAACGGCCTGGCGTCAATATGCCTGCTTTGGAAGGATGATGAAATTGGTGAACCCGGAGTGCGGAATCGAGCCACCTAGTGAGGTAGTATGTATTTCAGTAGATCTTCAACCACTACGTTATGTGCGCCATACTATTATCTCTGTTATCAGTACCATGCGAGGTGTCTAAGTGTTAAGACTTCGACTTCCTTAGGATGGTGCATCTTTGAAGGAGATTTTTAATCTCTCTTTGTTTGCATAGAGGATGGAACTCTGACAAACACTGTTCATACCAATTTTTTGACGCCATTGAATGATCGACTTTAAGAAGCTTTTCTAACTCTAAAGTGGTGTCTTAAAGTATCCAAAGAGATATAACTTTCAATGATACTGAGATATTTGCAAAACTCCGGACCGCAGGTGTTTGCCGTGGGGAACGATCATCATTATCTCATTGAAAGTTATATTTCGCAATATACCCTGCCGTTAAAAAAAAGAATAGGCAGTAAATAGTAAGTTAAAATTATTCTGAGAGAATTATTTTTTGTTAAATTACACTCGTTCAGTCGAGGTAAACAACACTTCGCTCACATGGGCACGAGAAGCTTTATTTGTGGTGTGTCTAGACGACGAAGAGATCGAATGCAGCCCCATTAAGACATTTTGCGATCGGCAAGCTCAAGAAGAGCACTTTGCACTTCAGGGAAAGCACATCCTCACCGGTGGGGGAAGCAGGGGCCATGGGCTAAACAGGTGGTACGATTCCACAATTCAGGTAGACTGATGTATTTTAGAGGCACTCCAATAGTGATCATTGCATGAACTTGTTCAGCTAGTTGTTAGCAGCAACGGCGTCAATGGCCTATGCATTGAACACTCGTCAGCTGAAGGTATCGTCATTATCAAAATGGCTGAAAGTGCACTCCGATATGAACGTAAGAACAGAAAACGAAGACTGGTGAGGTTCTATTGAAGTTCATCGTACCACTGATATTATTGTGCAGATAGGACTTGTTATTAACATTGAAACGTCCATGTTAGTGCGACGACGAGAGTCATGGATACGTCCTATCATGTTTGAAAAACCACTAATTATATTGTTTTTTAATAAGCTTACACGAGGTCGATAAACAATCTTTATTTATCTAATTCTTATTATTCTGTCAACTTTTTTTTGCTACCTACTACAAGTCTTCACGACAGGGTATCACGTTAAATACAACCAAAATGCTGAGATATTTCCAAAACTCGGGACCGCAAGAATCTGCCGCCGAGATTGAAGCTCGTTATTACGTTAGTTGAGAGACAGGTTAAATGAGGGCCCTCGTGGTGTGGTGGTGAACGCGGTAGCATCCGGAGTGGGTCACGGCGCGTTCGTTCCTCACCACAGACTCTTGCGGTTCCGAGTTTGGCAAACATCTTATTATTCTATTCTATTTTACTCTTAATCTTCTAATATATTCTTAGGCTAATTGTATTTTTATGCTATTTCTTCTCATAAAACACATCTTATCTCAACAAATCTATCTATAGTGTCTTCGATTCTGTAAGAAAGTTTTCAGATCAGCGCTCCAGAACGGCAGATCAGTGCGAAGGCGTTGACATGGCATGTCGACAAGGAAGGGTTGATGTTATTGGAGAAACAAAAAGGAACACTAGACGAGTAAAAGTTTTTCGAGCTGACAAGAATGCGATACGAATGTTAACTGAATTCTTTAGGCTTACTCAAGACTTGGATTTGGTTGTATTGCTGTTTAACGAGTTTGGGCGAAATTTCATCAAGGAAGCTGGATTTAGCCCAGACGGATTTGTGCAGTTAGCATTACAACTGGCGCATTTTAAGTGAGTTGGGAGTGCTTAGTGGCTTAGGAACTCCAATTTTAGCTGAGAAATCGCCACAAGACACAGAGTCTTCTGATTTCATACAGAAAGTCATGAGTGAACTCGAGTACTTTCTCAGGTTTATAAATAACTGCCGAGAGAAATGAAGCTTTTTGTGGGCCATGGAAATGTGGGCGAATCTTTCCTCAGATATTTTGCCAGAAATAATTTCCCAAACAGCTTATGATTTGAAGATTGCAGACTCCATGGATATCTGGTTTCCACATATGAATCGGCTTCACTTCGTCGCTTCCGCTTTGGAAGGGTGGACAACATCAGGGCGAACACAAAGGAAGCGTTAGAGTGGGTTAAGGCTATGATCGGGAATGAATCAAAGGTATCTGGCTTTATATCTGCAAGGAGGGAATGTCAGTTGAGTTACTCACTAGTGCACTTCAGGAGACCAAAGTTAAACTACTGCGAAGAGCAGCAGAAAAACAAGCCATTGTTACTCAGGAGGTGAGCTTCGTTCTCAATAAGTACTCAATAAGTGCCATTATTAGTTGTGGTTCCTTTCGCTAACCTACAATCAATATCAAAAAGAAAGATGTGCTTCATAGGTAGATAAGAAGACATTTTTTCAAGTTGAAACTCTTCAAGTTGTCTGTTTCTGTCCATGTGTGGTTTGATATCAATGCACATGAGCGCGAGTGTCTCAGTTGTTCTTGTGATGTTTTTGAATCTTCTCTGACTCCATAGAGTTCAGTATCACTTTCTTTTTAAGAACATAGCCGGTCAAGGGATCGACAATCATCTTTGCGCGTTAAACGTGCTTGCACGTAAAGCTGAGCAGGAGGGTGAGATCGAGACATTGCCGGAAATTTTTCGTGATCCGCTGTGGGCGGAACTGATGCGCTTTCCTTTGTCGACCAGTCAGGTATGTCCGTCCACTCATATTGTTCCGGTACCCAACGTTATCATATCAGAGCTATCGGTATTTCAGGTCTCCACATCTGCCGATATTACCGACTGCTATTTGTGCTATGGTGCTGTGGTTCGTGACGGTTATGGTTGCTCGTACAATCTTCAGAATGACACAATGATTTTTGCACCATCTGCCTTCAAATCAAATCCTCGAACTAATCTACCCGCATTCAAAAATTCAATACAATCAGCCCTTCAAGATATGAAGAAACTTCTTGTAAATTAAAAAAGTGTGTAGAATAGTATTAGAATATGGTATTAGAGACTATAGATTATAGATTACTGATTGCCATGCAAACTTTGCCATCGCTCTAAGATATTCGAAGTTCTGAGTAATGAGACTATTGTATCAAACTAACTATCACCAACCGTCACCCTTCAAATAGTTTGTTACTGAATCTTTTAATCGATGGTGATTAAATGATACTTCAAGTTACTCGCCTCTTTAAACTTTCAGCTATTGTCGAAATAACTTTGGTGGTAAAACTGCTTTTCCTGGGACCAAATTTGACGGTCCTTCTTTGCATTAAAGTGAAGAGCGATCAAGCGTTTAGCGTTGCCAAACACCTCTCCTTGCCACGTAGGTGTGGTTGAGTGCACCTGTATATGCCTACGCAATGACTAATCCTGCAACAGTAGAAAGCTAATGTCGGATGGGAAGAGCTCCCTTCAGCGCTTAGAAATGTGCAAAAAACCTTCCGAACACGTTCATTCACCGGCTATTTTACTGCCAACTGCCTGCTGTTTGAATTTTAGCTGTTGTTAGAAATCACTTTTTTTTTAGAATGGGCGGATACAGGGGAAAAGAGGAAGAATTACAGAAATAGACCCGACACCAGCTGCAAACCTTCCAAATGATGACATCGACGTGTTAGCGTGACGGATCATGGCAGCATGTAATAAATATTAGCACAGATACCATCTATACCAAGTAGAGGACAGAGCAAGATCTTTTCTAAGATCCACCCATGTTCCTAGCCTCACAAGTACCCCAGTTGTCAAAAAAATTTTTATAAGAAAAAAGAATCAGCACGTCTGTAATAACTAAAAATTGGGGAGTATGTCAATCGAGTTTAAAAAAGCGACCGTTAAGAGAAAGAACAATAAGACATACAGGTAGATGTGGATATACTCTTAAATAACTAAAGATGGCATCAATTCTCTTCACTGTATGTCAATAAGTAGTCAGGAGTGTGTAAGACAGTAGTTAAGTTTCCCGAAATAGACATAGGTTCGATGCCACGCCTCGACCAAATCAAGCCCTCATGCCACTTGCAAGGACATTTTGGAACCATACTAGTTTGGGAGAAGAAGAACATTGGATTGGAAAATCGGAGAACAGTCGCAAGGGGTTGTACAGACATCAATTCATCCCTGCGGTGTAGTCGAATTCGAAACAGAGTCGAATTCATAGAACATCCCTAGAGTATCAATAAAGATCTAACGCTTCGTCGCTTCCTTATTTCACGTATACGAAGACTGCTATTTGATGCTTTCCATATCCTTCCACTGAGCGGAGTTCACTGAATTGCTCAAATAAACCCCTGAACTTCCATCCGATTCACTTGATTCATTTGACAGTTACATATGAGACTGGTAAGGTACGGAGAATACAATTCTGTCGTATAAAAGACACAGTTCCCTCATTGCACCACTGTGTATGAGTCGCAATAGAGTGAACTGGAAGTATTTACTAATGCATATCAGTATCTGATAATGTTACAGTGATAGCTTTCACCCCGACATTCTATTCGTATTTCAGTATGTTATATTTTTCTGAGATTCGTCTTGTCTGCTGTTCGTGCCGCAATGACAGCTAAGGACAAAAAATCATTGTTAGCGATGGAGCCCAATGACAAGGTTTGGTTCTAAATCGATTTTGAATACACTACAACTGATCGATATTTGCAGATCCCAGTTATTTGTTGTGAAAAAAATAGACGGACTGATTGGATAAAACAACTGGATTGCTTTCAGATTCGCTTTGTGGGTGATTTGAACAGCGAAATTAGGACTTACCTGAAGATCACCAATAAGAGCGATATGAAGCAAGCGTTTAAGGTACGATTCAAGTTGTCTACTACTCGATTCCGAATGCTACAGTAACTTTGATCACAACAACATTACTGAGCAATCCTTATCACTTAGGAATGAATAAAACACGATAAGCTGTTTTAAGCGTCTAAGCAGAGCGACTTTTGTCATTTCAGATAAAGTGTACACGGAACGATCTGTTCAAAATTCGACCAGCTACTGGAATTTTGGATTACGATCAAACGTCGAATATCACCATTACGTACAAGTGAATTCTACTCTACTTAATACCTAATACCACAAACAGTAAGAACGAAATGCGTTACCCATTTCATTTCGTCAGAATTTCTATAGAATTCGGACGAGCATAGCGGAAATATGACCAGGGAATGAAGGTTGATTGAATGACTATGGCAAGCACGTAGTGCAGCGTCGTTACCCCTTGCCAGTGTGCAATCATTCGCTTTCATCTTTTGCTGCTTTGTCTCTGGAAATCATGAAAATGTGTAAGAGAAAGCCTGCGACATCTTTCCACAAACCTGACGATGATAAGGTGGAGATGAATAATGCGAAAGTCAGATACGACTCGTAGATCCCTCGGAAATTCATACCTCGGCGTTTACAACGTAAGCAAAATCATTTCACTGCTGTGGCAACGATATTTGAAGCGACGGATTTTCCGACCCCGGGGGTGGGCCATGGGCGCCGGGATCGATTCTACGTTTGCGTTGCACGGTGCCTCCGTCCACTGCGCCACATGCGCCCTCATGACATTTATAGTGGTAGAAAACCCAGAGAAACTGCATTTTTCTATTCAGAGAAAAGACAAAACGCCAATGCAAGCGCTAGTACCCTGCTTCATCCACTTGAGAGTAAGCGCGTATCGCTGACAACCAGCAAAACATTAATGTGACATTTGAGATATTCTATGATGAGCGCAAATGGGAACAGTTTACACCAGTTATAGGTGGCCGTTGCGCCTCGACGATCTGCTCAACTTTTTAGACACTGCTTATTAGAATGACGCCATTTTAGACAGTCGTAACAAAGGCTTCAAGCCAAACGTATCCATTACACTGTTTCTTTGATGATTTGAACTAGGCTAGTGTTAGATGAAGTGGTTGATCTTGAGCAACTGCAGCGCATTGCTGATCAACGATGGCTATGAAGGGTAGAGGATGATGGGATCGGCATTGACGAATCCCTGAATGATGTACCCTGCTGCCGATTTCGTTAAGCTTTGTAGAGACGACTGAATGCATATTTGGCCCCCATAATGTGCCGATCTCGGTGAAATAGAAGGTTTGGCAAACCCCATGCTCAGGAGCGAACCAATAATAGAGCAGTGTGCACTGCAGGGCACGTCTTACCTCTAATTAGGCAACATGCTCCCCTAAAATAGTTATAACCTTAAGAGATCGGTTCATTAGTATGACATCATTGTTTCGCTTCTCTGTTTATGTTTATACACTACATGAGAAAACCCATAAGCAGTTAAGCTGCAGTACAGCATACCTCAAGGCAAAGTTTTTTTGATGTTGCTTTGTGAGGAAAAGCTTTTACCAAGCTCTTCTTTAGTGCCACTTGAGATATCAACGCTGTCCGTTGTTAGCTGTCATACCTTTGAATCATAATCATACGAATGTCGATAACAGGGACCAAATATGCTAAAATTCAATTAATTTCTGCATCGTGCTTGAGAAAATTATGGTAACCTATGCAATGAGGACGTTTCCTAGATGCATTCGACTTCATTCATAGGATCACGGAGGTGGTTCAAGCATATTAGGCCAATACAGTAAACTACGTCGGCTTATCGATGTATCAAACGCTTTTTGTCTTCCTATAAAACCCCAGTAGGAATTTTCCGGCCTAAGAAGGATAGAAGACTTGGTCAGACACGAGACGGCAACGACGACCATTTGCTTCGCAGATCAACCATACACTACAGGCGCACAACAAATTTATTCTCAGCTCATGTATCAATCGTTTCTCTACAACTTGTTTTATTGTCCTTCTACTTTCTGGATTATCTTTTTGAAGCAAGCTTGCTATAATCAATACGTCATTGATGACACGTTACGAATATTAATTTTCGCACACAAAAGAGTTTAGACCAACTTGCCCTCCCCCACCCCATAAAATGGTCGTCGGAGACTTTTGAATCACCTCTAGATCAGATGACGATTTAAAGTCCAAGGCGTAATTTCGTACTCTAATTCGCCCAGCATATCACTTGTTCCCAGTGAAATTGGGGGGAGGAGGCGGAGCTTGTCGTACAACACAATAAACAACTTCTCTACTGAACGGTGCTTGTCGGACAAGTTTTAGTTCCTGGTGAAATTCGGCTGTTTCCTGACACTAACCTTCGAGGCACGATTTTTGGAGATATAAGAAAATGGTGGATGTTATCATATGCCGAATACGAAGAAAATCATCATAAGCTGGATAATTTGATGCTAGTTTGGCTAAGGAAACCGTTTTGGTGTTCCTGTGGCTCAACGTCATCCAGCCGCTCATCTAACGATTATTTGCTTTCACTTTCCAGGCTTAAGGCTGCACAAGGTCTCCTCATAGCTTCGATCATGGTCTGAGTTGTTCATTGAAACAATAGCACACTCACTTTGTACGATTGAAGCAAATTGCCAGTGACTGCTGTAATCAAATAATCTTTTAACTACAACAACTTAGAGCAATCGCATTAATGCTTTCTAAATAGAGCGATTTCACAACAGGTTGAAAGTAGTTTCTTCACTGCTGAAGAGACTTAGCTGCTTTGTATGACCGACCATGACGTCTCTTTTAAAGAGTTTCAAAGCAGAATGAAAAACGAAGAATAAAAATTTTGACCACTTAAAAAGAGTTCCTGTGCACCAAAAAATGCCGAAGAGCACCAAGCGCATGTTTCAATTAACAGGCCGAATGGGGAGATACCAGAAAACGACAAGCATCACTTTGGGGTTTATCACATTCCGGCACCGGAAGGATGCACATGTGAAGGGGCATGGAGCGAACACTATGGGCCACCACAAGGAGAATTTAGACTTAAAGTAAGGTTGAAAAAGAAGATTTTACCAAGTAAGAACTTTCACAGACTATTAAAATTGCCAAAGGTTCAGGTTGAATTTGAAGAACAGAAATAGCAGAACTGATGAGCGAAAAGCAAAATGGACGCTATCAACTTCGTTATTTCCACACATTGATGCAAGATACAATTGAAAATGTGTCTTACACTTCATATTTAAGATGAATAAAAAATAAGGATATGTCTTAGATTGTTTTCATTGTTAACCAAACGTACTGAATATCAAGGGTAGCACAGCGGTAGTTATGCCGATCATCAAGAGCGCGATGCTGGGTTTTCCTTTCAGCTATTCCTTTGTTGAAAGTTGTATGTCTGAAACGGAAACTCAAGAAGACACACCACAGAAAAAACGTTTTGAATAATGTTTATCAATAAGCCAAAACGTGGAGCAGTTCATCGGTCAGATTGACAGCAGGTGTCACAGCTCTTTGTTTCTCAGATCAAGATAACCGAATGCATAATAATCTTCCTCTTTCTTCAGTTTCCTTCCTTGTCACGCAATGTTCCCCGAGACTCTAATATTGAAGTAAGTCAAGGTCAAATTTCACGCTCTACCAGGAAAACGTTTCTAGCAAATCGAAGAGGGATGAAATAAACATGATCGAGGACCCAGTAATCGAAGGCTCATCAGACTGAAACCACTTACACTGTTAATTGTCTCTCTCACCGCAAATTCGGTGAATAGGACGTATAGTTTAGTTATACTGTTCAATAAGCTCTAGTTCGACACGGCCTCCTAGTCACAAAGTTCTCATGTTTCTGAGGATAAGTTGGTATCAGCCTTGTCTAAAATCACCCCGCTTCCTGCACTGCACGAAAGACATGATCATGATGAAGATCTAGGAATGTACTCGAATGACCATCCCACTGTTCCAGAGGGAATCGACTCGGTCAGCACTCAGTGACATTCACACAGATGATCACAAATCATAGAACAGCGGCAGAGCCTACATTTAAAACGCGAAAATTAGTTAAATGACGATGTGAGGAAACGAATCGGATGCAAGAAGTGCTGAGATCCGTTCTAAAACTGATGTCTAGTTATTTAGAGTAGAATGAATAAGATTAAAAAGATATTCTTTGCTCAAGCAAAGCCAGGTGCCTGGACTCCGCTCACACACTGATATGTGACTACTATTCAAAGTTCCTTGGCAACGTTATTCAGCTTTCCACATAAGCAGCGTTAAGGTTTTTAGATGTTTCCTCAAATATCAATGTTCATATCAGGTGAACTTTAAATACTTAGAGCGAAAGGTGGACGGATTTTTAGTCATAGATAGATCAGGAGTGTGGGTCGAACGTGCAACCTATGTTGGCACCGACTCACCTTTTTGCAAGGCGTTTATCTTGCTCTAAAGGGCTTCTTTGCAGTACTTTTATCCGAAAGATGACCTATCGGACACATAATGGGGTTCCTAGAATAAGTCAAGGAAAAATTTCCAATTTAATTTCATAATAATGCCAAGATGTAATTAAGCATTAAGGTTTCGACTCCTGTTCCAGTTTAACTAGGTTCAAAGCCAATTTGTGCTTCCCAGATCATTTCCCTTGATGAGTGATTACTGATAGCACTGTTAAGGCAACACGATGATAAAGAGAAAGAAAAGTCTATGGTGCAGTGCATAATATGTGAGCCACCGGAAAGGGTAATCGCGGTTTCGAAGCTCACCAGTGGTTGCGAGTTTTTCCCATATTTTAGCACTAATGTGGTTACGTTTCTTAATAACTGACAGAAAATGGTTTTAAGAAGCCTATATTTCCCATTTGAATGCCGTTGGAGATTCTTGTTGGTAGAGAGGATACTGACGCTGTTAGAAAACTGATGTTCCACACTTGTGAACAGCTTTTCTTTACGATAAGCTAGGAAACCATTTCATGAGACTTGCACTGGTGAATTGTAGTGTAATCTCATCAATATCTAGAAGTAACACATTCTGTGGCCATGAATTGGGAACCGAGTCATTCGTTAAGGCGAAACGCTTTCAAGTCACATTCAGTGCAGCTGAGTTGGGTGTGCTTTAGACGTGACATCTTCACGTACTAAGAAAGCAGTTCTTTGTAAAAATTCTAGATCTGCGAAGGAAATACACAGCAAAAAAGGCATTTACTGCTTTCTTCCGACAACATAGAATTCCCAAGACCGACCTTCTATTAATCTCAGCATTCATCGATAATTGACTGTTTTTCTTCAATGATCAATGTTTGCTCATTAAAGAAAAACAATATAAAGGATAAAAAAGGATAAAGCTCCTGGCTTTGATCAATCCCTGAGTGATGGGCCATGCATTCCACTTCATTAAGCATCGTTTGGAAGTGATTCAATGTATATTTGACTCTTACAATGACTCGCGGAAGCCTACCGATGTATCGAGCCAGTGCTGCTATCCTCTCAGACAAGTTTAGCACCAATTTGCCGACCCAGGAGGGATGGAAGGCTTGGTGAGTTATGGGCGCGGGGATCGATTCCACGTGTGTGTTGCAGTGCGTCTCCGACCACTGCGCCATACGCACACGCCACCAAGTAAAACAACATACAATTTTTTATGAGGAGATAGTAGCAGCATTAGATAAACGTCTTATAGAGCAACTTCAAGAAATCCGGCGCAATTTTGTGTAGTTTGAAGGACTTAGTGATGTGTCAGATCAAGAACACGGAAATAAAAAGAGTGTTCGCATCGTGAAGTTTATATGCTCTTCGCCGATACTGGTGACGGTGTCAGCCACTGAAAGAAGTGAAGTCTATGTTGCTGACGACGTTATGGATTTCCGAAATTCACTGCCAACAATTTTTCCCTAGACATTAAAGAGAACGCGGAAACGCTCAGAGAAGTGAGGAATACCTGAAGTGCTCCATTTTCATATTGTTTTGAAAGAATTCGGGAACCATCGAAACTAAGCATTCTAACAAGTGTCTACTAGAATCCTCTTATGTACTGCCTACGAATTTTTGTTGAATAGAGCTCTACTGACCATCACAACCTTGAAAACCTCCAATCCAAAACAATAAGGAAGTGAAGACTGCAGAATTCAATTCTTCACACTAACTGACGTGTACATAGAAGAAATAGGACCAGAAAGTCATTACTCAGCCATAACTTTGGAATGAACAACTTCATTTCAGCCTTCATCCTTTCCTCACCTACTTGTATTTGGGCGGTGGCTTCTTTTAGAGGCCGAGAGCTGTCCATGCTGCTCTCCGTCTTCTGTTAAATTCATGCTTTATTTTTTTCTCCATGTTCACTGAATGTCTAAGGTATGCTCGAGGTTCCTCCTTTTCAGACCATTAGTTTCCCATAAGCTGGGTTTTCTTCCAATTTATACGATGTCCTATCCTTTTATCTACCACGTCGAACTCATTGAACGTTCCCTCTACTCCACCGATAATCCTCGAAAAGGTAGCGATGTCACGTGGACAACAAAGATTTGACAAGCACTTGCCATCATTGCGCACGCCGTTCAGGTCCAAATAGCACGAATTTACTGTCCACTAGATTCGGCTTCAAACAGCTTCCACAAGACAGTGTCGCCCTATGCTTATATCGTTCGGATTCAGCTGACGTGTCTCATCAATTTTTAGTAACCTCCCCTTCACATCACATCAACATCCTCCTGAAACCGACTAAGAGTTGGAAACACAGTCATTTCAAATTTTAAAGACTTTGATTGGAGTAAGAGTCCCGGCTATTTTTCAGCAAGCTTATCGTTGACACATCATTACCCTATTGGTACCCACTACGCCTTGGTACCTTAGTTACTCCAAATTTGAAGGCCCGTTGAATATTTTAAGATGTTATAAACTGTAAATCAATGCTTGAAACTTTCTGGAACGAAGAAATACTAGTATTTCGCTGGTACTGTGCACTGTTCCAGGAATAAAGATTAGTAAACATATGAAAACATGGATTAATCACATGTATAAGTAAATACAAACACTGATAACCATAATGGGACTCACAAAAAGATCTCGATTATTGTAGCACCCAGGAAAACTCTATGGCACACCACAATGATGCTGAGATATTTGCAAAATTATCCGGATCCGAGACAAGCTTCGAATCCGACCTTTCCAGCGACTGACGTTTTACCCAGTGCACCAACAATGCCTTTGTTTTGCCTTCCCCTCTGCCAGCTTTTCACTAAAGTACGTTGCTTTCAAAAGTATTTCAAAGCCTTTTATGAGGACTGGCGGAAATGAGAAGGAATTTCTTGTACATTGACGAAAATCTTGATTCGTTATTTGATAGTAAAGATTTCTCCTTACATATAACTGGAAATGATCACGGGTAACCTCTCTCCTAAAGTAGACAGGGAGCACATTTGTTGAAAGTGACTCCTAACCACCTCCTATGTACCTCCCAGTCATTTGCTTGCAGGTTTTGGCCGAAATGATTTGTAGAATACGGCAAGAGAACACATCTATGCACGCATGAAGGAGCCTTCTTTGTAATCATAGAAAAAATGTGTCCAATCGGCGCGGCATAAAATGGTAATTCACCTACTGCATCCTTCTGCGTCCCAGAGAAGCTCAAGGTCGCTTTTGGGCCGAATTCGAAACCATGTAAAATTCCATTCTAAAATAAATTTGAAGTGAAAATAACATTTTGTGCTAACCACATAACTGTAACAAAAAATAAAGGGTCTTCTTTAACCCCACCTACTGCTATGGTTTTGAAATGCTCTAGCTATCGAAAAGCCAGCATGGTTAACTGTTCCGTCTGGTCGTTGGAGTGCAATTATCTTGGTCTTGTAATAGGCGAAGCTTCGATGGGCTTTGCGAATGCTTTTCCCAGCCTCTGCAGCTTCGAACATTACTACTGCTCTTCTCTCTTCAAAGTCTTTTTTACCGCTTGTCTGAATTGTTTTGCAAGCTCGGACGTTAGTTCGCGGCAGCCTGCAGATCGTGCAATTCCACACTGGCATATTAGCTCGAGTGTTTGTGGAGACAAACGTCTCCTGTTGATTTTTGAACTCTCAGCTTTAACAGCGCTAGTATGAAGATGTTGAGTGGTCCGTTCGTATTACTCGTCGATTTTATCCAGAACGGCATATTCTCAACAGCGACCAATGAATTGAATAAATCCCAGTTAACGGTGGTTTTGGGAGTGGTATTTTGAATTTAGCAGCTTTTTATCCTTCCTAGAAGAAATGAAATTTCGCACGAAGGAGATGGTGGTCTGATTCTGCAAAGAATTTTGGGAGAACAGCAATATCGGTTAAGAGAAACCTTCGAGTTACTATGATGTGACCTATTTCTTTATGGTACTCTCCACAGGAGACTCCCACATCCAGCGTTGAAGGTGGGGCTTCTGGTATTGCGAATTACCACGAATGCTCCTCGTCGTCATAATAAACTCAGGCAGCGGCTCATCCTACTCCTTCCATTGTAATTGTGGGTCTCAATATGACGTTCTTCTGGGTCCATTCTTAACGTTGAACTTTTCAATGATTACCTTGAAAAATGTCTGGTATTCTCTGTAGAATTTCTCCAATTCCACATAGAACGCTTTAACTTGTTCTTGGTTAAAGTTTGATGTTGACGCGTAAATGACGAAGGTTGCCAAACCTGGTGTTAATCCACATCTTTTCAAATGTAAACGCCCGATTTGGGTTGTTAGTTATTCGAATGAATCGATGTTCTTGACTAAACGCGTGCTCACGAGAACGACGGCTCCCCCAAATCCTCTGCTGTCGCATGTTCCGAAGGACAGTGCTTCTCCAGTGTTGCATATGGCGTTAAATGGGTGGCGGCTCCCGTCTCGGCCAGTTCGATGACGTCGTGCCTCATCCTTCTTCCCTGTATAACCAAGTCCTCTATCGGGGACTCAAACGCAAGTGTGCGTGCATTGTAGGTGCAGATCGTCACCTTGGTCCTTTCCGATTTAGGCAGCTTAGAATGCCGCTGAGATTCCAGCACCTTCCCTGTACTCGTCCTATCCAATGCAGGCAAACCAGAGGGTACTTCGAGGTCAGAGAAGTGAGGTCTATTTATTTTACTGTGTTTAGTCTTTTGATACTCACGTACAACTTGCTGAGCTCTAAATGTGGGGGTTCGTTATACTCAAGGGTAGTTTACCAGTCTCTCCAATGCCAACTGTTCAGCATCAATCCCAGAGGGATTCGCAATGTATTCGACTTCATTAACCATCGTCTGGAGGTGACTAAATGCATATCTGGCCTTTACAATGACTCTTGATGAATGCACGATTAGCTCCAGAGTTGAGCAGAAGAAAATGAGCGGCTTGGAAACCTTCCAAGAGCATCGAGGATGTAGTGAAGAAAACAAGGAACACCCGACTCTGTGGTGCCTACCCCTTCGACTCAACGGTACTTCCTGCCCTAACGCATGCGTCAGAAACTTGGTCGCTGAGTAAACAGGATAAAAAATCACCCAGCGTTATAGGTGTATTCCTTGTCACACAAATAAGGGAACAGATCCACAGAACAGATTTGCGTCAACGATTGAAAATCAAAGATGATGTTATATACGTGAAGCTTCGAAGAAATGGTGGGCTGGACACGTAACGTCTATGAAGGACAACTGATGGACAGAGCCGTTAGTGACTGGATTCCTCGGGATGTTAAACGTACTGCAGGAAGACCACCTACCCGATGGTCAGAGTTTTTCATGAAGAGCCTAGAAGCAAGATATGATGCTCAACGAGTTCCTAAAGCGAGCAAAACCCACTGGGCTACCCTTGCACGCGACAGGGAAAAATGGAGGATTTACTCGCGCCAGCTCGATTTACGACCACAGGGAGTACAGGTGATACAGATGACAATGACTCGCGGTGGCCTACTGATTTATCGAGCCAGTGCTGCTATCCTCTCTATCCTCTTAGGCAAGTCTAGTACCAATTTGGCGGTTCTGGAAAGATGGAAAGCTTGGTGAACCATGGGCGCGGGGATCGATTCTACGTGAGTTTTGCACGCCGCCTCTGACCACTGCGTCACACACGCCCTTATGCATGGATACATTCTCGTCGACACCGAAAGCTTATTTCAAGTTGGCTCAACAGAAACAGAGAGTCCATCCCCTGGATCCACCTGCGTCTCAGGGATGCGATTTTCGCCATCCGTCCCGGTTTAACCCCTTATCCGCCACCTGGGAGTTGGAACGCTAAACGTAGCGTCGCGCCTGGCCAGCTCGAATCCCCTCATATGAGAGAGATCCATGGAAAAATCTCATAATGCATGGAAGTTTTAACATTTATTAACCTCCATAAAAATAACCAGGCAGCATAATCAAAACCAGGTAGATCGTCACGATGAGGTCGTACTCATGCTATATTACATTTGGGTAGTTTTCTTCAGCAATAACGATAATGCAAGCTCTTTCCGATCCTTGCCCTTGGCGTCCGAAAAGTACCGAAAAAGCTCCTACAATGAAGATGTAAAAATCTGACATTTGGACAAAATCCAGGATACCTATGCAGCAATTTGCTGGCGAAAATACACCATGAAAAACAAAAGTTGCTAGTGCACCATAGATACTGAATAGATAAGGAGGCTTTCCCTTCTTTTGAGTTTTCATTTCGTTTTGCGAGTGACATCACAGTGTTTAAAGATGACCATTATCTTTGAGAACATAACAAACCATGGGTGCATTCTCGTGGATTTCTCGTAAGGGTACATACTGAGCGAGCTGATTTCCATGATGGGGGTGAGTAAATACAACAACACCCACAACGTCACCACTTGTAGGATGTTCTGTCACAAGGCTCACTTTCACGGCCTAAAAGTACCACTGAAAGAGCTGATAGCATGAAAATAGTGAACTGACACAAGGCAGAACCTTATATCCTTTTTTGAAACCGTCCGATTCCCTGGAAATGTATTTGAATCCGCCATAAGGATCATCCCGCTTAAAGAGTAAGCTTATAGAAAAGTGAGTAAGTGCACAAAGCGTGAAAAACTGCTGTGAACCGGTAAATAAAGTAAAGAAAACAATGAGACCTACTTCATCACCGATTTTGCTTTCGTTTACCGCCTGTCTTTCATCGAAGCAAGCTAAAAGTTACGGTTACTACATCATATTTCTATACTTTAAACTGGATAAGATTTTACCAGCACACGAAGTTCCTTTAAAAGGATAAAATAAAAAGGATAAAGCTCTGTGTGTTGATCAACCTCTCAGGGATGCGCCGTGCATTCGACTTCATTAATCATCGTTGGAGGTAATTGAATGCATATCTGGCCTTTACAATGACTCGCGGTAGTCTACCGATGTATCGAGCCAGTGCTGCTATCCTCCCAGAGAAGTCTGGTACCAATGTGCCGACCCCGGAGGTATGCAAGGCTTGGTGGGCCATGGACGCGGGATCGATTCCACGTGTGTGTTGCAGTGGCGCCTCCAACCACTGCGCCACACGCTCCCAAAAAAGTTCGTATAGGCTATATTATTTTACTACACAATAATAAACTAGTGACCGACACAGAAAGCAGTTTTTGCCCATTGCCTTTCCCCATAAATGAGAACAACAGGTAAGACACCTAATAATGTTCGGAGATATTTATTTATGTGATCTTATAAACTGATCTTCTTAAGCTGACGCGAGCCCCCGCAGTCCCGCACGTAACATCACGGCTCTGAGGAAGACGAAGTCGCCGTCAGCCATCGTTCAATAACATCAAAAACAACGACAACGAAGATCTGTACCAACCTCGCGTCAGCTTAAGAAGATCAGTTTATAAGATCAATAAGAGAAGATCAATAAGAGCTTAAGAAGATCAGTTTATAAGATAAATAAATATATCAACTATCTATGCCGAGGTTCATAGAAAGTCGGTCTTTCGAATGTTACTAGACCCCATTCATGGTTTCGACTGGCAGCTGATTTCTCGAGTATCGTACTGTCCGACGAAGGAAACATTCATAGTGTGCCACTATTATTCATCTCAATACCATGGATCGCAAGAGACCCCTAGTCTTTTTTTTGCACTCTGAGCTAAAAGAAAAGCGCAAAAATTCATCGTTTTTCCTCACAGTAATCGCGAGGTTGTTAAACAGCATACGTTTACTTTCTTACAATAACACACATACAACACAACCATGGTTAACGCTTCGGCAGAACCGCTTTCTTTGAAGCCGTTTTTACGCGCGTCCCACTGAGGAAGAGCCGACGAAAAGCCCAACACGCTTAGGATAGAAGACAAACATTCATTTTGCAAGTTATTCGGAATAATAAATAAATTGAGGTAAGCAGAGTTCAGACTTTGCTAAAGCAGATGAATCGTGCACATAAATCCGCCTTGAAATTTCTGGAAGATGAAACCTAATCTAAAAAAGAAGTAAATCGCACTAAATCTCACCAGTACGAATCTCGGTCGGTCTCTGAAAACAACAAATCCAATGACATTTTTTAATAAAGACTTAAGCGTAGTAAAACATACGTTGTCGTCTTCCTCATCGGATGAACTGCTACTGCACGCCTGTAAAGAGCGGACAAATAATTTAGGCAAACACATATCTAGTTGGTTTTCTAACAACCAAAATTTGTACTAGCACTACCAGGAGTACCGTGACACCTCGAGAAATGGCTGAAAATTTCTGGGCACTCTGTTGAACAGATTTTCTGAATTCTTCGGATCGTATGCCAGCTTCGATTTAATAAATGCAACCAATGCTTTAGAAAACCTCTGGGAAACACACCAGTTTTGTCTTTCTCAATTCCTCTTCCTGCCTTTGCTTCATCCTTCTTCGAAGTTCTTCTAAATGTTTCTTTTTCTTTCGTCGTTCATGTACTTCAAAATCTCTAATGAGATCTGGACACATCTTTAATGAAACGTAAGTAAAATCTATGAAGACCAATGCAACAAAACAGTGATCACTTTACAAACGGAACAAGAACAAAATAGAATGAGAATACAAGATCCCTAGAAGTGTTTCCCAATAACGTTGAAATTCTTACCATATGCTTTTCTTCGACGAAGTTTTCAGGATCCGATGACGTTTCATACCCAAGCCATTTGATGTGGTATATGTACGCCCCATCTGCCCTCATCTTGTAAAAAGAAATACATGAAGGCAATACACAGTGGCTATAAAAAGAGTTTTATCATATAATTAATACCTACGCCACGACTCAGCCCTCTGAGTCATGACGAGAGGTGGCGTCTATTCATGTTAACCAATGTGTCCCCAAACTTGTGTTCGCAAGTCTCATGAACGCGTACTGTTTGTCGACAGACAGTGTTAGCACCTTATCGACCATCGACTGTCTCTCGTAGAGAAGCTCTTGTAGAACCTTTCTTATAAGTGATTGCTTCACAAAAGGACCGGTTTTTAGCAAATTATAAATAACAAAAAGCTAACAGCAAGTAAACCGATGATGGAGTTAACAAATGAATTGGAAAGTGTAGCAAAAGATATCGTCAAAAATGAAATTAGCTAGCTGACTGAAAATTATGTCCACCGAACTATTCCTCAACCAGAATAAGAATGATAAAGCATTCGGCGTTGATTAATTGCTGAGGAGCACGCAATGCATTCGTCCACACAAAGCATCGCTAAATGTGATTGAATGTTTATTTGGTCCGTATATTGAGTATCAGTGGCCTATCGATGTTTTCACTCAGTGCTGTTTCCGTCTTTGACAGGTCTGGTACTATGTTCGGTTATTAGACACGATTTGTACAATAAAAAACCATCAAACTCACAATCTAGTAGTCATCACCTATGTCACCTCTCGTTTGTGTGGCACGAGCGGATGCCAGTAATACTTCCATTTTTGCCTGTCTCGTGGAATATTAGCCCAGTGGGTATGCCCGTTCCAGGTACTCGTTGAACACTATACCTTCCCTCCCAGGTTTTATTGAAAAATTCCAACTATCGGCTCGGTGGACTTCCCGCAGTACGTTTGACACGCCAAGGATGCAGTCACTAACGGCTCTTGTCCATCGGTTGTCGTTCAGATGCATTACGTTTCCAGACCACCTTATCTTCGATTGTTTGGCGCATAGAACAGCGTCATCGATTTTTAGTCACAGACGTGCATCGGAGCTTGGGATCCCATCCCTAAATTGCGTGACACAGAGTTATCCTAATATCGTTCTTTCGATTACGCATTCAACAAATTGCTCGCTTCCTCCTGGTCAACTGTAGAGCTAAGTCGTTCATTATGTTGCATTTTTGACTTAGATAGACTTTCCCGGAGCACTGGAAGATAATCGAACCATTGACCGTGTATCGAGCATACGAAACCAACCCGTTCGCCACAAGCATCTTTTTGTGAGTTTCAGTCCAAGACCATTCCTCCTACAACAGTTAACAAAATCTGCCAGCGTTCGCTCAGCCTGAGTATTGCTTCGTGTTATGTGAACGAAGTCATCAGAAAATCCAATATGGTGTAATTGCCAAATATCTATTTTCATTCCATGTTGTCCCATTCTAGTGTTCGCATGACGTGCTAGAGAGTGGTGGCAAATGATTTTAGCCAGATAGTGTCGCTTTGTCTATCCCATCCTCTAATGCGGATGACAATATCACTGTACAGTGGTGATACTTTGTTTATGAAATTTTTGTATAGCTCACGAATAACCTTTACGGCTGTCCAGGGCTTCCATGACTGCTTCTATCTCAACTGATTCAAAAACTTTCTTTAAATCGATGAAAGTGAGACAGAGGACTCTCTCGTACTCCCATGATGCTTCAATGAGTCTTGATATCGCATGCATGTGACCCATATCACTGAAACTCTTCGAAATCCTCCTTACCCACATGGCTGTCCATCGCATAGTGCTTTGTCAATCCTATCTAGGATGACTAAAGTAATGAATTTGTAGACCAGAGATAGTAAGCTTATTGGGAGATATTTACGATTATCGTGGAGGTTACCACTGTCTTTTTTGCCTTTTCTGATAGGCAATGTGTGCTGAGCCATTCTGATAGGCAATGTGTGCTGAGCCATTGTTTTTTTTTGTGAGAGCTGGTGGATGATTCTTCAGGTGTTCAGATCTTATCTTGTCCGGAACTGGTGATGCTCGATTTCGATTTCACCCATGAAGTAGCATGTTTGAGGAGATCTGAGAAGTAATAGTAGATGGTTTTCTCTATTGCCTTTCTGGAAACTGTAACTGTTTAGTACGAACGTCGGAGTGATTATCCGACGATTAACTTAATGGCTTTTTTTTCTTTCTTTGAGAAGTGGAATCTTACGCAAGGAAGGCGATAATCTGATCCGGCGTAGAATTTTGGAGTAATAGCAATATTTGTTAGTAAAAGCCTTCGATTTACTATGATATGGCCTATTTCGCTATTGTTCTCTTCATTGGAAGGCTCCCATATCAAGCGCTGGAAGTGGAGCTTGTGAAATTGCTAGTCACCATGAATGGTCTTGCTCGTCATGATAAGCTCAGACAGCCGCTCATCCTGCTTATTTCATTCTAATCCGTGGCCCCAATGTAACGTTCTTCAGACATTTTTCCGCGTCCAACCATGTTAAATTCCCCTCACAGAGGGATCCCATGTCGGTTAGTTGCGAGGCAATGTTGCGTCACCAGGTGGCGAATAGGAGGTTAATCGCGGACTAAAAGTGACATCTGCTTCTCTGAGGTGCGGGTGAATCCAAGGAGTGGACTTCATACCTCCACTGCACTCATTTAGCACATATTTTCTGTATTTACGAGGAAGTATTCATGCATGCGTACGTGGCTGTGTTCTCTTTTATGGGGATTGCACTCTGCGAGTCGATTCGGCGAAATCTGGCATAAAGGGAAGCATATAGGAGGTGGTTAGGAGCCCCTCCAACAAATAATCCCCATGTTTACTTTAGGAGAGACTGCCAAGCTACTTGAGAGCATACCCAGCCTTCATGTTGAGAGCTTAGCAAGCTATAGATCGGTATCAAACACTTGACACAGTAAAATAAACAAGCCTCATTTCATTAACCCCGAAAAAGCCTCCGATGCAACAATGTTAAATAAGACCACACGAAAACACTACTAAAGGAATAGTCAAACTAAAAAGGATGAAGCTCTCGGCGTTAATCAATCCCTAAGGGATGCGTCATGCATTCGACTTCATGAAGCATCGTTTGGAGGTGATTGAATGTATATTTGGCCTTTACAGTGACTCGCGGTGGCCTACCGATGTATCGAACCAGTGCTCCTATCCTTCCAGACAAGTCTGGTACCAATTTTCCGACCCCAGAGGCATGGAAGGCCTGGTGGACCATGGGCGCGGGGATCGATTCCGTGTGCGTTGCATGGCGCCTTTAACCACTGCGCCACATGCACCCTAAGGGATAGTCTAGGCTGAATAAATTTGGAAGCACTAAGGTGACGATCTGTCTGCAGCTATAATGCACTCTCGTTTGTCTTTGAGTCCTCCATGGAGGACTTGATCGCACAAGGGAGATGGACAATATACGAAGTCATCGAACCTCCTCAGACGAGAAAAAACCACACATTCAACGCCGTCTATGACAGCTGAGGAGAACTGCTCCTCGAAGAATGCCACAATAGAGGATTCGGCGGCGTCTACGCTTCCGCCGACACGAGTTTGGCCATGCATATCTATTCATTCGATAAGCTAACAACCCGAATCGGATGTTTACTGTTTGACAGTTGTGGATCAATAGCGACTTTGACAATCTTCGTCGTTTGCACAGCGACAGCAAGCTCTGCTGAAGCGACGTCGAAGGGTTATATATGTACTAGGAAAGTTCTACAAAGTAGACCATGCATTCTTCAAGGTCATCATTGGAGATTTCAACGCCAAGATTGGACCAAGAAGAATGTCTGAAAAACGTCACATTGTGACCCATGGATTAGAATAGAACGAACAGGGTGAGCGGCTGAGTTTATCGTGACGACTGAGGCCATCCATGGTAACTCGCAATTTCAAAAGCCCCACCCTCAACGCTGGACGTGGGAGTCTCCCAATCGAGAGTACCATAACGAAATAGACCACGAAATAGACCATAGTAAATAGAAGGCTTCGCCTAACCGATGCCTGTTGTCCCAAAATTCTACACGGGATCGAACCATCGTCTCCTTCGCGCAAGATTCTATTTCTCGCGGAAAGGAGAAAAAGCCACTAAATTCCAAAACCGAAGTCCCAAAACCACCGTAAACAGCGACTTATTCAATTCATTCGTCGGCTGTTAGGAAGATGCCGTTGACGATAACACCGACGAAGAATACGATCGGCTCATGCAACATCTTCACGTTAGCGCTATAAAAGCTGAAAGTTCGTAAGTCACCAAGATACGTCTGTCCCTAGAAACACTAGAGTTGATACACTAGCGCGGAATCGCACGAGCTAGTGGTATTGGGCCTATTTTTTTGAATTTAGAAGGCTTTTCTCCTACCCGCAAGAAATGAAATTCTGTCGAGAGTGGGGCTTTCGGAATCGCGAGTTGGAAAATTTACTAGCGCCGACTCAAATCACTCGACGATGAGCAGGAGGACAGATAATATGATCTTTTTTTCAATAAGAGGACATGAGGTTGTTATTACAGAATTTATTAGGATACAATAGCTGACGTTTCGGTGGTTTCGCCTTCTTCAGCGCTTGGAAAGGTCAAATTGAGATGCGATCTGCTCCGCCAGGCACTTTCATAACCCTAGCAGATGAAACTTGACAAATCGATTTGCATTCGCATAAGAACCAGCTTCATTTAAACACCTACCGCTTATTTGTTGTAAGTATTTAAGTTAGTTGATGGATAGCAGCCGCACAGAGTAATGCATGGGCGATAACTGTGCCTGTGTCAGGTCATTGGATTAGCCTGAGGTATGGCACCAGGTCACGCGTGTTGACAAGACACTCCTCCTTGCGGTTCATTTTTGAATTTTTGGAATTGATCCAAAACGCTTCAAGAGTTTTACGCGCTGATGTTTTCGATTCGTTCGTGAGGATAGTGACTCCTACTTCAAAACCTTCTCCGTTGTGTTCCTGCATCCTATGCGCCCCTAGTGGAGTGTTTGGTTTTAATTTAGATTTACCAACTAGGCATTCTTTTATGCGGACGCAGAGCGGTCTATCCGTTTCGCCAACGTA